TTTAGGGTTTAGGGTTTAGCAGCTTATACTATTTCGGACCTGTTTTAGGGCTTCGGGTTACGGGTCTGCCGTTTGTCGTTTCCCTTGTCGCATGCTCCAGGCTCGCTGGCTAGGGTTCTCGGAAGCTGTCTGTGTCTTCTTCTTTGGCAAATCCGTCGGCTCATGTGCTGCAGCTACACGCTGGTCAAAACTCTCGGTATTCTCCTTCAGTACTCCACCTACTGAAGTACGCTTTCTATTTCCGAAACCCTTAACCATGAGCAACAAACCCTTTCGAAGACCCCATAGCAGGCTTGTATCTGCGATGCTTTTGCAGGGGCGAAGTGGAATGTGACTTTCCGATCCGCAATTTAGGGTCGCGGGTTTCTTGGGCATGCACGGGCAGAAATACCCTGCCTGGGCTGAGGCCCATTTGTCCTTCAAGCAGATTCCGGTCATGAAACATCTGCAGCTCACGGGCCCTCTCCAAGAGGAATCCGAACCCGAAACCTCTGACCACAAGGGGGAGGCCCTGAGTTCGCCAACCCAGCTAACGTCTGCAAAGACGCTGGGTCCGAGGTGTGTTCCAGGAAGATTTCACGGAGGCAGCTTGCAGTGATGCCATACCTTTGGGTTCAGGGCTTAGGTTTAGGGTTTAGGGTTTAGGGTTTAGGGGCTTACGCTTACGTTTAGGATTTGGGGTGTCAGGTTTGGGTTTAACTCTTGGTTTTTTTGTTGAAGGCCCTTCTTCCATCTAGGGTTTAAGGTTTAGGGTTCAGGGTTTAGGGCTTGGGGGCAAAGGGGCAGTTCTTTAGAGGCCCTGAGCAGACTCTGGATGTACCAGATTTACCAAACAGCCGAAGCTTTCGGCATGTACAGGTTTTCTGGAATGCCTTCTTTGGGGCCCGCACTGTGGGTTTGGGGCTTGTGCCGATGCTGCAAAACCAGTCATGTACCTCAAAAGCCTCTACTACTGCTTCAACCCATAAAACAACCCAAGACAAAAACAACTACAAACCCTGTTTCTGTCAAATTTGCCCCCTAAACCCTAAACCCTAA